AGCTATTCGGTAGTATGAATATATGCATAATTTATTTTCTAGTAAAAGGAGAAAAAAAGAGCGGGAAAGGAGTCAACACATGTAATATAGTTAGCAAAATATTTACATAACTTTATTTATAGTAAACGTTCGCATCAGAGCAGCTCGGATGCAGGGAAAAACAACGTCACGCCCATCATCCTTCATACACGCGACGGTGATAAAAAATTATGCCATTTCTGCGCATATTTCGAATTCTGTGCATCGATATAATTATGTACATACACGCACGATCCGCGTATTCGAAGGCCGAAACTCTAATACATTATACTAATCATAAAAGTCGTGCACGATCAGCAAAGTATCACATTTACGACACACACATACACACATCGATCTTTTTCATTAAGTACGAGCATGAGGCAATTAAATCGTCAAATAATAAGTTTACTTTGTAAATATCTCTCTTAGTATATTAAAAAATTGACTGCAAATATTTGGCAAACTTTAATTATTAGATCGTTCTTGTATATGAAACATTATACAATACAAGAAATACGACGTTCTTATGAAGTAAATATTTTTTTTGTATCTAACAATTAAAGATTATTTTATAAAGTATAAAATATAGATATTTATTGCAAGTTAAAATTTTATATAAATCTAAATCGTAAGAAGGCGTGAAGAGCTAAACGCGGATGTTGTTATGGAAACAAATCGTGCACAAGGTACATATCACTCTTGGTGTACTAACCAAGACTTTGAAAATTGAAACAATCTCTTACTTGAGATTTCATTTCAAAAACCCCTTGACCCCCTATCGAAATAAATAATTAAATGCGAGAGAAAAATATAGATCCGAAAGTCGCTGAATCGGGAATCAGCGACTCCTCGATTCAGCGACTTTCGGATCTATATTTTTCTCTCGCATTTAATTATTTATGTCGATAGGGGGTCAAGGGGTTTGTGAAATGAAAACTCAAGTAAGATATTATTTCAATTTTCAAAGTCTTGGTTAGTACACCAAGAGTAATGTGCCTTGTGCACGATTTGTTTCCATAGCAACATCCGCGTTTAGCTCTTCACACCTTCTTACGATTTAGATTTATATTTATATTACAGAGCCTGTTATTGAAACTTAGTTGTTTAAAATTTTATTAAAATTTGAACGTACTGCGAGAAAAATCATGTCATGTTAAAGAGTGATTGTTGATATAAAATTGACATGCAAACATATAATATTTTATTCATCTAATTTATTCAGATTATCTGAATACGCATCATCAGTAAACAATTCCGTTCATGAGAATACACACAATTGCATTAAACAGATTAAAAAAATAACAACTATAACACATTAATGCTCTCAATGTGAAAATTATATTTGAACGGGCAAGTAAGGGTCAAATACGGATGTCAGTGTCCGTCAATTTCAAGGAAGAGTTAATTTTTCGTTGGAACATTCATGACAGGAAACTAATTTCTCTTAGACGACATCAAAAAATTAAAAAAGAAACGATTCGAGATTCTATTTTATTTATTTTATTTTTAGAGGACAGAGAAGTTTATTAAAAATAAAATCTCCAATTGAAATGTATTTAATTTCTTCGTACTAAGGAAAATTAGTGTTCTATGCATAACGAATCAGTTTCAACGAAAAATTAATTCTGTGACATTTGCATCTGAGCTCTTTAGTTGCTTGTTGAACTGAAATAAGATTAAAATATTATTTTTAATCTGTTAACAATTATGAGAAATATCAAAAGGAAGATCAATGGCAAAAATTTATACACTGAGAAAAAAAGTTGTTAACGTGACTAACAATAAGTCGTTCAACTAATTACTATTTTGTTAATTGAACATATTTAGAAATATTTTAATTAAATACAACATATTAAATCTAACATAATGTGTATTTGACTTAAATATTTGTATATATGTTCAATTAACAAAATAGTAATTGAACGATTTAGTCAGATTAACAACTTTTTCTCATTGTGTAGGGGATATACAGAGTGTCCCAAAATTATCGGACACTCTGTTAATAGGAAGATTCCCAAGATTATTTGGAGACGATTTTTCCTCAGCAAAAATGTCGAGGGAGGTCATCATTTTTTGCATGTTCTCAATTTTTGCCATCGTGTATCTTTGTAACTAACAATAAGCCTTAAATTAAAATTCTATTAAAGTAAACTACCTGAAATTAATTGAAGAATGTGATTTTGTGAAATTTTATTTCCACAAGGTTTAATTTGCAAAAAACCCTTTATATTCAACCGCTTATGACTCAAAAAATTATTGATGCCGCGACATTTTTGCTAAGGAAAAATCGTCTCCAAATAACCTGAGGAATTTTCATATTAACGGGGTGTCCGGTAATTTTGGGACACCCTGTATATTACTCACATATACACACAGATCGAGATGAATCGTATGTAACATTTGGTACATGTACGAGTCTCCAGTACAGATGTACTGACCTGACATTGACCAATTGTAAGCTCCACGTGAGTCGTTCCAGTCGTACGCATCGGAAATTACTTCCGGCAACCGGATCGTTGATACATCCTGCGTGACAAGTCAGATAATTATTCCATTTTGTGGTTTTTCGTCGCGTGTTATAAATTACACGGTTCTGAAGAGCCGTTCAAGTGGATATCCCGAACGGCGATGCAAAGTGTTATCAGTTTGCGGTATTTCGCGTTAACGATTCTGTCGTCGATAATCCTTAGTATTGAAAAAAATCTCTGAGGTACTTAGTATTACATAAGCTTTTGGAACATTTCAATGTAGTTTTACATTAGTATCACGCGATTATATCAAAAGTCTTTTCATGTTACATGAATGTTACATGATGTTTGTAGGAAAAATACATATAAAAATGTATAACTTTGTATAGCGATTTTATTTCACGAATCTGACAAAATGAGAATCGTTTTTTTACTTTCTTTTTATTCTGCATATGAAATTATATTTTTCAATTTTATTTTATTATATATTTTATTACATATATTATTATACTTTACACTTTTTGATATTTCATTATTCGAGTATATAAAATTTTATATTCGTGATATTTAATTTTCATAATAAATAGTACTCACTTAAAATTATTGAATTTTATTTGATTTAATATAATATTTTGTAAGAGTTTCTTTCATGTAAGAGTTGCATATCTCTTTCATTTATGGCAACGAAATTTACATAATACGCATAAGATGTGCGAAATAACTTCTATATAACTTTTCTATATAAGTTTGGTAGCATCTTCAGCAAGTTCAAATAGTTGTAGACAAGTTTTCTACCACCTGTGTTGAACGCGCGATATACCGCTACTTTGCGCATTCGTGAGATCAAGTTTTTATAGTTCTTTATATAAAATTGCTCGTTCATATCGACACGAGCTAGTCAAAGACTATAAAACAGACGCAACTTTGAATACTTATTGTCCTATTAAGAGGAACTTTCACGCGATATCTTTCGTCGTATCTTATGCTATTACTGTATTTTATTAAAACTAGGCGAAATATGTAGAATAAACGAGTTACACGGTAGATATTTTATTTTATATATATATGTATATATATAGGAATGGGAGCGTAAATTATCTCTTCTGTGATACTTTTTCTTGTTCAATTCGAATATGATTTGATTGATTAAATTTTATTTGACAAAGTTAAAGCCTTATTGATTTGAGATTATTATTTACGCCAGCTGCTCCAGATCTGCATGATAAAATCAAATTCTTGAAATATTTAAAATAAATATTTACGCATATTGCGCAAATGAACTCTCGCGAATAATGATAATAAAATTATCGGCAGATAGCGTCGCGTGAGCTTTAATTACATACGCACGTTAAATCATTTAGTTACGTCAAACTGCAAATTGCAAAAAACATTACTATAATTATCTATGTGTTATTATAATTTTATAGGTTTTTTTTGCAAATTTTCTTTATCCGGATTTCCGCACAAACTGATAAAATAAACTTTTAAAGCTGATATTCCCGATGACATATATATGTATATAAATAGTAAATCGTACACGGAGAGAATTTTCTCTTAGAATTTATTCTGAAATTCATGATAATCGTGGGATAATATGGTATTGGAAGAATTTTATAAGAGCTTCTCTGATTAATATTTGACATAATAAAAAATATTAATATCTATCACAAGATATACAATAATGTTTGATTAATTGAAAAATATATTAAAAACTAATAAAAGCTTATGATTCTTTAAATGTTTTAAATGAATAGAATAAAGATGCCAAAAAAGTGATAAAAAATATTTTATATAAATACAATACAAGCATGCAGTATAATATTTTTAATTCAGCTTAATCATGATAATTTTAACACGCAATGTAGTAATTTTCGGCTTATTATCAAACATAAAATTTGTAATGAATTTTGCGGTAAAATATATATATATATATATATGACGAAAAATTCTCTCTATGTGTATTTCATAAATTCATAATAAATTCTTGGATCTAATCGAGTCGCGCAAATGATGAATCTCCTGACGTTAGATCGCTAAACGCGACGTTAATGAATGCATAGATTTAACACATCGGTGACAATTATTGCGAGTTCGTTAGAGCCACGTTCGTCGGCACTTTTCTCTGATGTTCCGCGTCTTCTCCCTTCCAGCGAGAAGAGCCAGGAGGCGAGGAGATGCGGCACCGACGCGGAAAAGGGAGTTGTCAAGCGGCGGTGATCTATTAATAGCTTTACAAATGATTGTCGTTATGCACCTTGAAGCGATAACCGAGTTTCGCGTTAACGCAACGGACGACGTGGCCGATCGCGCGAACCGATTTGCATTCGCCGATTGCTATTGTATGTCTTCGTGTATTAGATCTCTCAGACGCTATAAAAAAATTATTTCATTAGGTTGAACAAAAAAATGACACTATTTTTTTCACAATTTTTTTGTAATTTTATTAATTTTTGACGGCGAATAATAATTTAATTTTTTTAACATAGTCTAATTTTTTTTGTCTTTTCGCAGAACTCATTCGGCAGACCCGATGACATCGTCGCCGCCGAGACCCTGGCGAATCACGTGAGATGCAACAACTCCTTCGTACACGCCGTGTTTCAAGCGCAGTTTCGCTCCAGCTTGACCTGTCCGAGATGCCACCGACAATCGAACACCTTCGATCCTTTCCTCTGCGTCTCGGTACCGGTGCCGCAGAATCATCGTCAGATGAATCTCTACGTGAACGTCCTCTACACGTCTCAGCAACCGCGGCAAGTCAAAATCGGCGTGAGCGTGAATCAAGCGGCCAACGTGAGAGAGCTGAGAGAAATCCTGGCTAGCGACACCGGCGTGGACGAGAATCACATGTTATTGACCGAGATCCATGACGAGGGATTTCACAGGTAAATGACGGTTGACAGAGAGACAACGAACTTATAACTGCAAAAATAATTTTTTTTTCTGCGTAAATTGAAGCAAGTCTCTCTAAAAAGCTTGTAGCTCTTGCACACTTTATTAATAATAAATAATAAAAAATATAAATACTATAAATAAATAAAATATAATAAAAAAATAAGAGATATATCTCGTGTTTTTCTCCGCAGAACCTTCTCCGACTGTCAACCTCTATCCGTGATCATGGAGAACGATCCGCTTTACTGCATCGAGCTACCGCAGTTGAAAGAGCCTACGGAACAAGCGTACATCTTGTTGGTGTGGATCAACGTTCTCGTGAAAGGGGATCTGAAACAGCGATTTGGCAGTCCGTACACGATGCAAGTATCGCGCGAAACGTCGTACGAGGATCTGCAGAAATTACTGCTGAAAGAGATGCACAGCACACTGGCGGATGATGTTCTCACGACGAGTCAGAGCCCGGGACTTTTCAACATTCGCGTGGCGGATCCGGCTGCGACGCCGATTCAAGACGAACATCCCTGTATCGATCCCTGCGTGGAACACCCGCTCTATACGGAGCAGATCGAGCAAGCGTTGGCACTCTGCGCGGACGATTCCGGTCCACAGCATGTGAAACTGATTCTCGAATGGGACGAGGCTACCAAGCGTAATATTATACAGGACGACAGCGATCAGATTGAGGAGCACGCCAGCGTGAAACAGTTAAAAACCAATTCCGAATTGGGTGGTGCGGTCACCTTGGAGGAATGTTTCGATCTGTACACGCGAGCGGAGATACTGGGCGCGGAGGACGCGTGGCATTGTCCATATTGTAACAAGAAGCAAGAGGTTGTGAAAAAACTGGGTCTTTGGTCGCTGCCCGATATATTAGTCATACACTTGAAAAGATTCCGTCAGCAATCTAAACAGCGGTCAACGTCTAAGTTAACAATGTTGGTAGATTTTCCTTTGTACGGTTTCGATATGACACCGCATCTGGCTCACAATGGCGTTCAGGCGACACATAACAGCGTCACCAGTCTGGGCGGCCTGGGCTGGTCACCTTGGAAGAAGCCACGACCGCGGCAACACAATATCCCCAAATACGACGAGAACGTATATGATCTCTACGCAATATGCAACCATCACGGACAAGATCTTCAGGGCGGACATTACACGGCGTTCTGTCGAAATCCGTACGACACGCAGTGGTACTGCTTCGACGACACGCGCGTGGAAGCGGTGAACGACACGAATCTGATCACAAACTCAGCGTACATGTTGTTTTATCAACGAAGAGGCTTGTCCAACAACTCCACGGGAAATTCATCTGCGGCGTCCACGAGCTCGGCCGGTTCCGGTCTAGATCATTGGGTATCGAAAATGCCGCCGTTTTATTTCAACAATAAGAGCACTAGTGACGTAACGAACAATAAACAAAGTAAATCGCAAGAGATACTGTGCCAGGAGAAGATTGTGGAGGAGAAGAACATGACTAATTTCACTAGAGGTTGCGGTAATTACGCAACTTTACAGCCAAAGAAGAGGAACGCGGCGACGGAAACCGATATCGGACAGATGGATCACTATTCGGACGATGAGGCACCTTGTAGAAGAGAATGGGTATGTAATTTGCATATCTATCGTTAAATACATTCATCGGAAAAGTAGTCATATCTCATTGTTTTATTAATATTAAATAAAAGAAGAAAGAATCTAATTAATATGACTAATCCAATAATCTTTAATAATCATCTAAATTAATATTTAATTGCAGGCCTCCCCGAAACCGGTGCGAAAGACTTCATCCATTACACTGACGCCGCACATACCGTCAGCAATAATTCAGAATGCTAGTAGTGATCCGAATACAACCGTTATACACGAGTCGACGTTGTAACACACGATATAAGTCAGACTGAGATGTCTGGCTCGAGCGATGCTCAATGTACAGTGCCTGGTGTGTCATGATGTTTGAATAACATCGAGTGGGGTGAGATAAAAAAAAGACAGACAATTCTGGTAAAATATAAATTCGTTATTTTTCGATTACCGAACGAGGAGCGATACATTATAGAGACATTGAAAAAAATCGTTCCTCTGCTTCGAATTTATATAGACTTTTTTTTCGTACAGAGACGCTGAGATAACATGGATTTTCAGCGACATGCTTCTCTCTATCGCCTGTTCTTTCGGGAAGTGTAATAAGTTTACATGCAGGCGATCTTTTGAGGATGATAGAAATACGAGGCATTAGTAATTTTTGTAATTGTAATACCATGTTTATATACAGAGCTCGCGTGGATTGTATTATATGATATAGCTGCTAAAAAGATAGCTTTTTAAAAAAAGACGAATCTTATACTCAAATATATAAAGAATTACGTATTCTTAAGGGAGAGAGAAAGAGAAAGAGAGAAGAAGAAACCTCTAGTGTTTATATAATACATAATTAGAATTTCAATAGGCAACTAAATTCTACATTGTGTCCAGAGGAAGGAAATATATTTTCCAGAGCGGTTTCGTGCAATTGTGTAAAGCGTTTAAATATATTATGTCAACGTAAACACGTCGTAAGCATTGTGTCATCTTACAATGAAAGTATATGACAATAACAAAAAACTTATACATTATTAATTCTGCGTTAATACATGTTTTCTTTACAATATCGTTCGTTTCTGGACATACTGTGTAACTATATTGACCGTTGCTTTAAATCTATGTTTAACTGTAATATTTATATTAATACCTGTATCATGTCTCCACTAGTGGCCTTATCTAAATAATTAATACTGATACACACGACATTATTAAGCATATTACTCATATATTACTTATTACTTATAAGCGGTTTATTTTAGATACAGAGACTTCGTTTTGCAAAAGTCATCGAATTATATTAGTTTCGCAAGTTTCCTTCTCTAATTTTCATTGTTTAGAAACAGCAGTAAGTTACAGTTTATATTACAAACCATCATTCGAGTTCTTCCAACGACTGTGTGGACACAATACTCCACTGATGCAAAAAGGCATAATTAGTTTATGAAGAACATAGAGATCAAGACAAAAAGAGAGAGAAGGAGAGGGAGAAAATGGTTTTTCTATATGTAATAAAAACATAAATCTGCGGTTCGTTTTTTATCGCGATTAAATATTCAATCTCTCAATTTTAACAATCATTCCAATTGGATATTGAATAGAGTGTGAACATGAGCGAAAAGAGTGAAAGAGCAAGAAAATATGTTTTATATATATATATATATATATATATATCATAATATATATTATAATATATAATATATATATAATATATTATAATAATATATATATATATATATATATATATTATATAATATATATTATATTATAATATATATATATATATATAGTATATATATATGTGTGTATAAATATATATATATATATATATATATATATATACATTTGATTATATTATATATAGCGAGCAAAAGATATTTAAGTTATTCTATTAATTAACATTTATTACTAGTCACACGTATTATGAGCACGGGTAGGAAGTGTATGTAACGATGATTATCAAACGATGTAAATCATGAGATTCACGCGCGACTTACTACCCGTTATTATAATGATTTTAGAAATTGCTGTAAATTGACTGAAGAGAAGAATCTATACACATATTATTATAATTAATATTATTATTTACTCTTTCGTTGGAATAAGAGTAGAAAATGTATATATGGAGAGAAATGTCATTCCACTTTATGCACATTTGCATATGTAACTTTGTCGGTTTTCGATTTAATGGCTTTTCGTGTCACACTCGTCGTGCGTTGCATTTTGTTACACATTTACAAGAAAGAATGAAAGAAAGATATCATGATGATATACATCCTACATTGCGTACACATATGCATCCCTTGTCTTTTGAATATCTTTTTAGGTTTAATGCTAACTAATGCGCGTGCAAAGTTCTTATTGTGACCAAATAAAACGGGACTCTTAAGTAATTAAGACACTGCAACACTGATATCTCTTATCGACGATATGGCAGAAGTGATGAAATAATTTGACGAAAAATTGAAAATAAACACAACATGAAACAAAACAAAAATATGTAATATTTCTCTTCTTCAAGTATAATTTTATTCAAAAATTAATCATATAAATTTATTGTGTTTAAATGTGAAATTCTTATTTATTAGATTGTGTTTTATTTTTCATATGATTTACAATGCAATTAAGATTGTAATGTTTTTTTTTAAATTATAAACTCGTAAATATATATATATATATTTTTTTCTATTTTTTTATTCCATTTTTCTTCACGTATCTGACGTATCGACAGTATCGTGTCACCTGATAATTAATGCATCGTATTTTAACTAGATGGAGCTAAATGTCACGATCAGTGCTCGACACGGTAGCCTCATATATTTTATTTGTAACGTGTAACGTAACAAAACAAAAACAAAAAAAAGTGAAAACGAGGGTGGAAATTTAATGGCAACGAAATGAAAATGTCCGGGCTTAGTCATCCTCGGCGGACTTTCCTCGATCTGCATCTCCAAGGGATTTATTTCGGCCTTATTCGCGCCATACATTTACGTAAGTAAATTCGCTCATCGGAGTTTGTATTTTCTACACTTCATTCCTCCTCTCATCTCGCTAAAGCCATCTCGTTTCGTAAATGCAAACAAGCGCGAAGCCGAAAAACGGAGCTCTACAAAGCGAAAACCCTTCGTGGAATCGCGCGCGCAAGTGCAGCAGCGGAGGGGTGGGGGAAGCGCGGGAGGGGAGGGAAAGCGCGGGAGTGGGGGAGCGCGACGCCGCCCCACCCCGACCTGTCAGTCGGGCTCGGGCCTTCGTCGAGTGTGCGTGTCTTATGTCGTTGCTCTCGCGCTGAGCGTACGCGAGCGTACGGGCTTGTCACTGAGAAAAAAATCGAGGTAAGAATTCGCTTCCTTTCTTCGCCCACGCGAGTGTAGACGTTCGTCGTGATTTTCCGCGGCGGATTCGTTCGATTGATGTAAGCAGACGAGATAAAGAAAGAAAAAAAGAGAGGATCCGGAGCGTCGCGTTTATTCTGTCACGCGAGATAATCGCCGGTGCGGGAGATGCAGTGCATGCTCTCGCGGACTCGCCCTATGCACAAATGCACCGCCCTGCAGTAATGCGCTCCGGAGTAAATGTAGTACGTTGTCTCGTACGCAACACAAAGGCAGCGCCTCTCCATTCTCGAGATAAGCAAGCAAGAACGCGAGAAAGAGGAAATGATATATAGTATATATATATATATAGAAAGAGAGAGAGAGAGAAAGATAGTGGGAAAGAGTGGAAGGAAGTAGAGGAGCCTGATGGCGCTCACTGTCGTCTTCGCGTGTACTCTCGGGGATCGATACACGGTACACACTGGAGGCGACGGTGTGTGGGTGCAAGAATACATTACACGGACTCGGGATATTCAGCCTGTGTGTGTCTAATATGCGTGTATGGGTGCATGAATGAGAGAGAGAGAGAAAGAGTGCATAGGGGCTGAATTTCGTCTCGAAAACCGAAGAAATCTCGCCAGATGTTGCGTAGCGTGGGCCGAATATCCCACCGGAAAAGCCGGACGCTCGTAAAATCGTCGTCGGGGTCGCCGATTAAAATAACAAAAGCAAACCGAGAGAGAGAGAGAGAAAAAGAGAGACCGTATATTTCTTTTTTTTTTTTTTTCGTTGCGATAGAGAGGATAAATTTGGCTCCCGAACGCTTCGGTTTTATCGAACGGTTTCGCGTTTTCTCGCTCGCGACGAGAAACATCGCGGTCGCAGGTCGACGACAGGCACGAAGCGGCGATATGATCGAAGGTGGCGGATGTTAACGGAGCAGGCCAACGCGATTACACGATAGGTCGATGACTTTTTAGCGTGCGATAGCGTGCATCGACCGTGGGTCGACGATGGTCGAAAAAGAAAAAAAAAACACGAAGGGATCTAGGAGAATGAGTCATTCGAGTGTGAAAAATCTCGCCTATCTTCTCTCTCTCTTTCGATGGGATCTGCGATTGCGAGCAATCGATGTCTCGATAAAATTAAATCGAAGATACGCGCGCGCGAATATGTTACATTTTTCGAGAAATTATTTTAAGCTTCCTCGAATTCGCGGAGCTTGAAAAAATGACGATATTGATAAAAGATAAGAGATTAATTTTTAATTTTTCATTATCGATTGTTTTATTTTAGAAATTTTATTCGTCTGGAAAAGATTTTTATATACTTTATACATTTAATAATTTATTAATTATTAAATATATAAAGTTAAATCGATTACTGTTAATCAGTTTATATCATTAACTTTGCAATATCGAGAAATAATATAATTAAGATAATATAATATGTAATGTAATACGTGTAAATATGTAATCTCTCGTAATATGCAATACATAACGTAATATTAACTATATAGAAGTGTAGAAAATTCAGAAATTTAGAAATTTCGTTATTATCAGTCGCTCTTATCAGTTCGCGTCATTTTTCTCGAAATAAATGAACGTGTGATTAATTTTGACACGCGAGAACGAGATACGTCCCGGCGCAGAAATGTTCGCGATCGCGCTTTGATCTCGCGGCGCGAAGACACGTGATCGAAACGTCAACGAGTCAATCTCTCGAGAAGTAATGACGTTCGAAAACCGACGTGCAACGAGGCTTCATCTCGACAGAGAGAGAGAGAGAGAGGCCCTCCCAGAGTCATCGCAGCCCGGAAATTCTATAGACGATGTTATAGTCGCGGTTATAGTCGATCGATCGCGAGCAAGTTGCATGTCGCGGTGTATCAAACGACTAGTGAAAGAGATCGATCGATGACTTTTTGCGCGCGCAATTCGTGATTCGCGATACGCTCCGCTCGGCAACGACCACGCTTCGTTACCGTTTTAATGTTCAAATAATCTCACTTGCTAATTCGAGTCGCTAATCTCATCATTAAGATACGCTCGACGTATATCTTAGGCGAGTGCGAAAACAAAGGTGTACGATAAAATTTATCATAAATTTACTAGAAAGAAAACTTGAGCAATATTTGTTTGAAAAATTCTTGAAATATTAACGGGGGAAAAATGGTAATAAATACCAATAAATACATAACACAGTTTCTGTGCGTTCCAGTTTCCTCTGGAAGTTAAAACTGTAAAAAATTTTTTTCTACATTTATCTCTCGTGACAAAGCACACCCAGCACGGTCTTCCCTTCACTCGATATTACTAGGTAGAAGCGTATAAACTCCATTCGCGTTACGTGCACACTCTACATTTTATGCACTTAGAACAGGCGTAGCGAATAACTTGAGAGGAAGAAAAAAGAATGAGACTGCAAAAAATGCAGACGACGTGAACGCGCGGTCCCATAATAATGGATTTAGAGTTCGTTGCTCTAAAGAAAAGTATTAAGCCTAGAGACTTGTCAAACTTGTGAATTTTATTAGCTGAAGTTTTCATTAAAAGTCCGGATAAGTCCTTTTTATCCATGACTAAAGAAATATGTCTTAAATACTTAAGAGATTACTGTAAATTATGTTGATATATTTGTTAAAAATAGTATATCATATATTTATCGTCTTTAGTTATCTTTCATTTAAAGAATTTTAGATTTTAATCAAATAGATGTACTTATAAAATTATATAAGAATTAGATATTTTGTATATTATTTAATTCTTTTTAAACAGCCAGATAATTTTTTACCCATTGACTAAAGAAATATGTTTTTAAATACTTAAGAGATTACTGTAAATTATGTTGATATATTTGTTAAAAATAATACATCATATTTAAATAGCTGCACATAAAATATATAAGAATTATATATTTTATATATTATTGAATTCTTTTTCAATTTTCATTGTATTTAATTATTTCGTAGATTAACCAGGTTATAATTGTTTTGCGGAATCTTTTAGTTCTGAAGTTATGGTATTGACTTTTACGAAGTAAGTCTATGCAAATACATAGTGGCTTAACGAAGCTGATGCTAATATTAATTAGGACAACTACATAATTACATAATAATACGTAGTTAGAATGTTAAATCGAACAAAGAGCGAAGAGAGAAAGACAGACGGACAGAAATGGAGAGAGAGAAATAATTGATTGAATTTAAAATGACATGGAAATTAGAACCGTTTTGGTTATTCATAGTTTTCAAATTTTTCACGTTGAAAATGAAATAAATTTATTCCATGTTTGGAAACGAACAACTGTACTGCATTATTCCTACAAAAAGAAGGCAGAAATAAAAAAGATCGGTACAAGCATGACATGACAAGACAGGTGAACGATCGCGTAATAATCTTCATTTAAAAACCGCAACTGGCGATTGATGATGGCTTTATTTCAATGGCTTATTATATGCGTGCGATATATACATGCGGTGAACAAAGATATGAAAAACGCATACATGATAATATTCGAGTCTCTACATGTCGCGGTTTCTCTCGCGACATAAAATAGCCGCGATAAAATTGCTGTTTTTATCGAACGTGAATGAAAAGCCCCGCGTTCCGACGATGACGAAATGAAAAATGGAAAATGAAAAATTTGTCCCTTCGATCGCGAGTATTATACACGAATATTAAGCTCGATTGAAGTGTGGGATGAAAACCGTCGAGTGACGGAATCGCTTGTAATTTTTGCGTAATGGGATACTTAAACAGTGACTCACTCCCGCGAATCGATTACGATTATTTGCATTGATCATGAGTTGCAGATTATAGAATCGATTATTCCAACGTTTGCATATGCATTCATTTAATTAAAAATTTTTTTCTTGTCCATGGAAAAATTAGCTATAGCTAAAATTTAGCTGCCCCTATATTACACCTGAAATTTAGTTATCATGTCTAAATTTTAGATACGGAGAGAATTTTCTCTTAGAAATTACCCTGAAAATTATAGTAATTATAGGATAATATGGTAATTACAAATATTTACCACAATAAAAAATATTAATATTTATCACAGTAATAAGATTAAAATATGTTTGATTAATTTTACTATGTACATATTAACATATCTTATTGTGGTAAATATTAATTACAGAAATTCTTATAAAATTCTTCCAATACTACATTATCCCATACGATTACTATAATTTCTAGAGTAAATTTTAAGAAAAAAATTCTGTGTGGTCACTAAAATTGTTTAGCTATAGTTTAACGGAGAATTCTATAGCTAAAATTTTTTTCGCGCCTATAATCAAAGAGATGTTTTTTTTTTCATCGATGCGATGACGGAACAGGTTCAAAAAAATAAGGAAGCGTTCGCTTCGTGTATCTGAGGGTCGTTGTTGAAATGAAAGAGCACGTTTATCACTATGGATTTCCTCGTTTGTATCAAGTACATACATACATACATATGTATATGAGAGAAGTGTGCAGAGTGTACGCTGTACACTTTGCAAGGATAGAATGGAATCATGAAAGTAGGTTAATAAACCGTATGTGTACATTGCACTTTATCGATCCGCGGTATATTTATTACGGTGATAGGTATTTGTTGCTCGTCTGAAGAAGTTCAATATAGAATGTGTCGTATATATATAAAATACGTTGCTAATCGGTCGGGAAAGATTATATGCATTATATGCATCGTGCATTAACACGCTGTAACATTCGAACGAGTTTATCATATATATAGGAAAATTAATTTTCGCAGTTCTATTACGGGAATATCCGATCGAGATTCCGCTTTCCTCGTATAAATACGTAGGTGTTTTATTTATTCAATCGACGAAAATGAGCTCACACCCACACGTTTTTAAGCTATTAATTTAACAACGTACTCTTATTATTATACACGATATTTTTAAAGCGTATTTTTATTCCATTGACTTCTCTGTATTTTTCTATACTTGACAATTTATTCTATAAGTTTGATTTTTTCTAAGGTTTTTTTGTTAAACTAAAAAAAGTTATAATGCAAATATATATATATATATATATATATATATATACAATACATATTTTTAAATTCTTAAACAATCGTATACACATTTTTATGTATAGATATAATTTTTAGAGTTTATTATTATTATTATTAAAATTATATCCCACAGGACAGCAATGCATATTTAAAAGATATTCAGAAAATATTCTGAAGATATATTTGGGTGATAAAATATTTCAAATATATCTTCGGGATATTTTTTGAACGTCTTTTGCATATGTTGTGTGGGATATAGTTTTAATGATAATAATCAACTCTAGAAGAGATATTTATACACACACACACACACACATATATATATATATATATATATATATATATATATAAATTATAGAATAGAATTTTTATGCATATTCTTTAAGAATTTAAAACCATTTATTGTACATATAAAAAAATTGCGTTATTATTTTTTTCAATCTTATTAATAAAAGAATATTGGGAAAAATTGAGCTTATAAGATAAATTGTCAAGTTTAAAAAAATACAGAGAAATCAATAAAACGAAAATGTGCTTTAAAAATATCGTGTATAATTATAAGAGAGCACGTTGTTAAATTGATAGCAAGTTAGGATTCTAATAAAGAGATTAATTTAGGAAATAATTGTTATTTCTTAATCTTTTATACCATAATTTGTTTATATGTTTCACACACATTATTATTTATAATATAAAAACACATGATTAATATTAATATAAAAAAATTCAAGTGTACTTAACATGTGTTTATATGAATTTTTCACAAACACACAAGTTTTGCCAAAGTTTTCGAAAGATAATACATCGTCGTTGAGCCCATTAAATCCATTTTCAGTCGATTTAAGGACTAAAAAGCATCTCGCGGAGATCCTTTCGGCGTGCTTTAGCGACGTCAATGAAGCGAGAGAGATGGAGAGCTGAGGCTGGCACAGACTTCATTAATTAAGCGCGCGTTGATTCCACTACGGAAGAGTTGAATCACTACGCTAAAACGTTTTGCGACACTGAGTGACGTCGGCGTATTTAGCCGAGATTGAATCGTGACTCACAATGGAAGAGCGCAACGCGGATGCACAATATGCTAATACGAGACGATAATCGAATTAAAACTCTCGATGAGGCTTTTTAGAAAATTTGACATTTAATTGCTAGTAACTTTCTTCGATAAACTACTAAAATATTGCGAGAAATTATAATCGAATGTACACATTAAATCGAATGGGAGAAATTTAACGCTCCTGCTAATTCTATTTTTCTCTATCCTGCAAATAAATTTTCTCATTTATTCACTGTATCACTTTAAAATTCGATAAAAAAATTAATATTTGAATTTCCTTGCGTTTGGATTTAAATGAAGAATGAAGAATTTTTATTTTATTGGAATATTAAACAATCTATAAAATGACATGTTTATCAAAAAATAATATGAAAAATTATCATACGTCTCTCTCTCTCTCTCTCCGAAAAAAATAGTTTGCTTTTTCTACACGGAAATTATAGTTAAATTTTAGCTACCCTTATATTACAATCTGAAATTTAGTTATCATGTTTAATATTTTTTATAATTTAACACAGAGAATATAATTAAAAAATATTATCTGTCATAGTTAAAATTTAAGCATGATAACTAAATTTCAGATGTAATATTTTAGCTATGATGGTTAATTTTTTCCGCGTATGTTTATGAAAATATGAAATAAAATATACTACTTTCGCTGTTTAGTATATAAAAGACACACAGAACAATTATGTAACTACAATTTTTGTTTCATCTGCATAAAGATTTTTCACGTTACAATCGGTTTTTGATAAAAGCTTTTAACACAGGATTTTTTCATGCAGAATTTTTAGATATTGAATAAAACAAAAAAAAATATATATATATATATGGAATGTAGTATATACAGATACATATTCAATTATATAAACGTAAAATTTCAATTAACACAAAATCCAGGTTCTATCTGTAGTCACACATCGATATCGGATTTTTCCGAGCATTCTTCTCGCACCTCGGCCAAAACCTTCGCCACACTAATCCTCTTGTTTCTCTTTAATTATAGCGCTCGCGCGTAGCATGTCTTGACGAGTAGGAGGGCCGTTTCGACAAGGGTTTTTGGCAGATAAGGATTCTGCAAGATGGCGGGCGGTCAGCAGCTTCCGGAGCAGTACACGGTACCACAGTACGCGAGGATCTTTCACAGTCTGCCGCACCTGAACGTCTCTCTACATTCGGTCAATAACACGTTCAATCCGCACTCCGAAATCTATTTGGAGGTAGGTCGCCCGGATATCAAATTTCTCCATTTAACTTTTTTCCCGCAATTTTATTATCGGATCCCCGATTATATATAGGAAGATACATACGTATATACAGGGTGTCTGATATAAAGTTTCGCACCGAAAATATACAAGTAGATCTCGTTATTCGGAGACGATTTCTCCTTGGCAAAAATGTTGAGGGAAGCCATCATTTTTTGCATGTTCCCAATTCTTTGCCGTCATGTATCTCTTTATAACTAAACTTTAAATAAATTAAAATTTTATCAAAGTAAACTCGACTTGAAATTAATCGGAGAATGTGCTTTTGTTAATATTTTATTTCTATACAAGGTTTAATTTGCGAAAAATCCTTTATTTTCAATCACTTATAACTCAAGAATTATTGGTGCCTCAATATTTTTGTGACATCTTATGTCAGACACCCTATGTATATTGTGTATATATATATATATATATATATATATATATATATATATATATATATATATATATATCTTTCCATCCCTCTAAGTTCCCATCCCCTCATTCGCACGAACCGATCTCGTTGATTTAAAACAAAGTGCGCCCTCGATTAATGGTCCGGAGTCTTTAAGTCTTTCACGTGGATCAATAAACGAATTGCGAGAGAATTTCAAATTTCTTCGAGATGCCAAAGAGAGGAAGAGAGCGAGAGTTTCAAGATAAATATTTTATTCAAATCGATATGTGTGTATATACGTTGGTTGAAATGTCTCTCTTGGAGATATCAACGTTCCCAGCGTTTATTTTCAATCCCGCTGGACGATGCACTTCAAACACGTGTAATTGATATAAATATTTGAAATGCAACATTTCTTTCTTTGAATGTATCTCGAGTGTCCTTTCCTAAGAGATGATTCCATACAATTTTCAAAACGCTTTGCAATTTGCTTTATTTTCGAGTTTACGTCTTGCATTAATTGAGAATTCCGTTTGAGTAATAGCTGTTATTAATGTTTACTGTTGTCTAAATAAAATTATATAGATGATCATCTAAATGAAATTTTTGACGTCATCTTATCTTTATATAGTTAATAAAAATTTTAAAAGCAGTAAGCGATAAAAAATTATAAATAAAAGTATGAGTATATTTTTATATTTCTTTTATAATTTATATTTTTTTCTAAACCTATGTTTAAACAAACGCCTTAAAAATAATATTATCTCGAAGTTATTTAGATGAATCGCCATATAATTTTATCTTTTATTTAAATATATTTAAAACGAAATCATCTTCGTCTTCTAATCCAAGATGAATTTACATATTTTCATCTCATCTTTATCCAGCTAATTTTAAAATCATCTAAGCACAACATGGCGTTATTTCCTATTATTGCAAAATCAGAATTTCCCGTCTGTCCTCCCGAAGGATTCTCTTAGCCACCCAGCCAAGGACACTGCGAATTATCATAATCAATCGATTGTAGATTTGCGATATCGGTTCGATACACATCGACGAACGAGTCAATATTCCAAGAGGAAGCGTCCTAGATGTAGGATGGAAAAACGGAGCGGAAGAAGAAGAAGAACAAGAAGAAGACTCGGTGTGCACCGATCCGTATTCTTTCACACGGCAAAAGATGAAAAGGAAAAGAGGAAAAGAAACAATATTCCACGTGTCCACGAGCAGAAGAGACCAGCCGGCCGGCGACGCTGAACGTAACAGGGCGAGGACGTAAAAAAGGAGAAGAAAAAAAGAGATATGGAAAAAAGGAGAGAGAAAACGATGAGATGCCCTGGCGAAGAAGAAGAAGATGAAAAAAAAAAGAAAAGACCGAAAACACACGACGGGCAGGTGGATGCCGCAAGCGTGAGCGCGCAAGAATCCCGACCGCGTGTAACTGTAGGAAAGCACAATGGCTGGGAAAGCTCAAACAATGCACAAAGGCTTTCGCATAATGCGCCCCGGGGGCAACTCGCGAGCGGGTTTCGCTCCTCGAAACGTGCTCGGGAACGTCGGCTGTATCCCGTCACATTACCCTCGTCATATTATTTCTACTTCGCGTTTCCGCCCTCTTCTTCTTCTTTCTTCGTTCGGCGTTTTCTTCCCTTTTTTTTAAGTCACGTCTTCCTCATCGAAGTCGACGGATTCATGGAACGAGACACCGGAGTCGAGACTCCGAAACTCGGTCTCGGCGCACGTTTCCGTCACGCCTTCTCAGCGGGGTGGGATTGGCGGAGTTAAAAATCGTTGAGAAGCGGGATAAATATCCCGGAGTAAAAGGGAGTCGAAGAAAAAAAGAGTAATAAAAAGTTACGAGGTGGTTCTGAGCGTAGTTTGGAGTCGCTTCGCTTTGCAAAGTAAATACGTAAAATGCGTCCGGAATGGTGTCACAATGCAATCCTCGACGATGCGCGACGATGATAACGCTACTGGCATGCAACCATCTTTGAAGAGCGGAAATGAACAAATCTTGGCGCCGTTCCAGTTTTTGGACGTTATTTATTTGGATGGCGCGCTCGTAGTTGGAAACTCTTCTTTGGAGGCCAAAAATACGAGAGAAAGAGAGCCCTTTTTCTTAATTACATTTTAATTCAATTACTAATTTTTGAAGAATTGTTATTTCTGTAATCTGTATAAAGAGTGACAACTAATTTTTTGTTAACTTTATGAAAATATACATATAATTTTAGATATACATACGTATATCAAATTCATTTAATTAATTTTATATATATAATTATATGAATTTTATAATTGAATTTATAGGAATTCTGTAATTTTAATATAAAATAAATTATATACATAGGTATATATATTTTATGTTCAAAAAATTGATTTAAAAAAATAACATAGGTGAGATTATAAAAAAAGTAAAAATGTCATGATTGAATGTAATTTTTTTTCAGAGCCTTGGGATATTGGGAAGCATCCCTGCAGCCTGGTTGATCTTAACGTTGCTGGTATTGCTGGTTTATTTGGTAACGAGATGCTGCGACCGGAGGCCGCGCCCCAAGAAGTCGATAACCGCGCTGAAGTGTTCCCTGGCCATCCTGGCGTTGCTCTGCAGTGGAGCAGTTGCTGTTGGTCTTTATGGCAACGACGATGTTCACAACGGCTTAGTGCAACTGGTAGCCGCGGCGAAGAATGTCGATGGGATCCTCATGGGCGTCAGAAATCAGGTCTGAATCTTCAGATTCTCGCGCAATGTGGTCTATTTTCTTTTATTTTATATGATAATAAAACTTTATTTACAATAATAAAACATTCCGATAAAAATGTCGAATAGTTTGTTAATTAGGAACGATATATTTAATTCGACCCAAACTAGCCAAGAAATTTTTATTTTATTTCCACAACGTTTCGACCATTTGTTTTTGGTCCTTTTCAAGTGAAAAACTAGAATGGTACAATTAATTAAAATTAATAAACATTTTTGATGTTAAACGCAAGAATTAAAAAATGTTTATTAATTTTAATTAATTGTACCATTCTAGTTTTTCACTTGAAAAGGACCAAAAACAGATGGTCGAAACGTTGTGGAAATAAAATAAAAATTTCTTGGCTAGTTTGGGTCGAATTAAATATATCGTTCCTATTTTAAATACCACTAGCGACGTTTTAAGTATTCAATTTGAGTTTGTTAATTGTTTTAATATTAGCTGTTTTGAGTACTTGGTTAAAAAAAAATTTTACGACATATTTATATTTACAAAATTTTCCTATAAAGTTCCCATTTTTTGATGATATAATAAATCTTGTTAAATATTTTTTCAATATTTAATAGAATATTTCCTTGAGCAGATATAAACTTGAAAATCTTGGCTCATTATCAGTGATAATTTAAATAATTAATTATAAGGATTATATTTTTTCTCTCTACGTGTCATAATTATTATAATTATTATATATTTTTCCGCAGACTGACACTATAGAAATGACTCTAAAGAAAAAAGTGCAACCGCAACTGACCTCCCTGGGTGACGAATTCGACGCTCCGGTTGGCAATAAAACTATGTTAGGATGGTTGTTAGTGGCACTTAACGGTATGAAGCAAAATACGAGCATCGCCGTAAATCGGAGTTTCGAGATACGGAAACCATTGAGCGGTATCAGTCTTGCTGGCGCTATTGGAATGGGCGAGAAGATCGAGCAATTACGATGGCCTATCACTATGGCAGTCTTGAGCGCTTTACTTGTTCTTTGTGTGGTCCTGGTGGTTGGCGTTGCACGGCACTCCAGATGCGTCCTCATAACGTAAGTTTCTTAAAAAATAAAAAAATTCTATTACTGGTATCTCTTTTTTTTTATTACGACACGTTTATCATCATCTCATACACAATATCCTTCAGCAAAATCTTAACTAGCCATAAATTTGAGAGGGAGATTGCATCTTCTGTAAATATTATATATAATAAAGTTAAAAAGAAATTATTCTGATAGAAATTTCTTTCTTCCGCAGATTCTCCGTATTCGGCTTGTTTGCGGTAATCGTCTCTTGGCTCATGGCGTCCTTGTACCTGGCCACTTCTGTAGCTCTAGGCGATCTCTGCGTATCACCTGACGGATACTTAAGCAGAGCCGTACCGTCGACCTTGGCCTCCGAGGTGCTCTCGTACTACACGCATTGCGAGAACACGCGCAGTAATCCGTTTACGCAGAAATTGCGAGATGCGCAGCGGGCGGTGGGCAACATGAGACAAAATCTGAACACCGTGACCAAGTTAGCGTTGGATCTGTTTAAAGATCAGCATCTCCAGCCGAAGGTCAGCAGCTTGGCCACGGATATTAATACCATAGACAGACTTGTGTCAGGCCTGACCACGTTACTCGACTGCAAACCTCTGCACAAGCAATACGTTCATGCCGCTAAGAGTTTATGTCACTTGGGATTGTAAGTTATATTCTAGATAGATTTTCATGTGATGAATGTGGATATGTAAACTCTCTCTTATAATAATATCTTCGCGATATGTTTTAGGTACGGATTGAGCTTTATGCTAATAGCCAGTTTAGCCGCAGGTCTCTTGTTCACTGTACTGGTTTGGGTGGACTCTCATACGTGGATATATATACGAAAACGGTAAGCGCATTGATGTTTATAGGAATTAATGTCCGCGAATCTCAAGATATTTTATTCTTTATTTTTATATTATATATTTTATTTGTTTTATTTATATTATATTTTATTATACATTTTATCAGCAGATATCACTAAGGATTGTTCGGAATATATTTTAAGAGATCTCTTGTGGTATTCCCTGGGCAGAGTTAGACAAGATATATAACTGGTAAATGCATTTGTTTCAGAAGGGATTACCATCAGGTTGATGAGCAAGATCCTTACTTACCACCGTCGGCAGCCTCGCAAGCGATAGCAGCGCGGACCCTTCGAGGCCAAGGGTCGTACCCGCCTACAGCCCCTACGCTTAATTCGAATGCTCTTGGCACTCATAATACGATTAAGCAGCCTCTCTTGCTAACGCCGCCCCCACCGTCCTACGCTACTGCGACTGCTCGAGCACGTCAACTGCACGAGAGCATGCTAAAGTTTGTGCATGAGATTTTCAGTTTATTCTCCTTTAATTTGTTTAGCTAATTCAATTAAAAGATTCATGAATATCGCGCGCTAAAATATCATATTAGGTTCAGTGCGTTTCCTTTGAATGTTGCTTTAATCATATATAGTTTTACCATCATTATATTAAAAGAATTCATATCTATATTTTTATATACATTAGTATACATGCTTTTAACGAATATATACGTGAGAGATAAAGTGTGATAATTGCATCATCTAAATAATTGTCTTGATTTTATATATTTGATGTTTTAATTATATTTCAATATTTCAGTGTTTTTGCGCGAGACATAGCATATTTAGGAACAGATTTAATATTTTTCTTAGCGAACACTAGTTTTGATTGCTTTTACAATATCGTTACAAAACTAGTTTATAGCGCGCTTTGTAATCCTAATCTCTTACCAACATAAACATAATGTATAGAGGATTTTGCAGACGTGATTGAATTTATTGAATTTATGTTTAGATAAGCTCGGACATTATGTCAAACAAAGATAATGCTGCAACTTGGTTCGTTTTTTCCTCGCCATTTACAGAGGTGGGGGTGTTAACGGGAGCGGAGCAGGCGGAGATCATAAATCATCTCAGCATAATCAGCAATCAACGGGTGGACGAGCTGAGCACCGTTCTGGACTCGGAGATCAACCTGGCCAGTACGCGACTCTGAGCAAACAGTGCAAAACACTAGAGTCTAGTGACTTCTACTGAGGGCACGCCCCCGCAGGGCCCGGTAAATATAAAAAAAACTAATTTAAGACTCCGGGCTCCTTGTTTTAACCATGTTTGATATTGTGTTTATTACGAAATGGCATCTAAGAATCTTTAGCGTGCGCTTTCTCGTCTTTGGCGTCACAATCTAACGTGACTGCGAGGATTCAAGAGTCTAACAATTAGTAAAGCCAGCTTTATGTAATATCCCTAACACATATCCCAAAGACGTTCAGAGAACATCCTGAGAATGTTCGAATATCCTCTGGATATCCTCTGAATATCTTTCTATGTTGTGCTATTAGGGATATATATTGTAAAGTTTGCACATTTGTATATTTTCCATGAAATTTAGATAGAACATAGAACAAAAACGAGATGAGATAATTCTATTTGTATTATACAGGTAGAGAACCACCCTGGACGCCCAGCGTGGCATCCTTCACCGGTACCCTGTCCCACAATTCGCACGGACCTGCGCATCTTGCTACTTTCCAAGACTCTCGGAAGACGCAAACGTTGGATCCAAAGAATCTGGCGAGTCTGAAGAGAGGCCCCACTCCGGCCTGGAATCAAAATCGACCGCTTCCGCCGAATCCCGTGAGTCAGCAGCAGCCCACGTGGGAGTTCGAGTCGCGCTCGCAGACCAATATGAATCAGTTTCGATCGTTGGTGCGTAACAAGGCGCCCAACATTCGCATCCAGGATCAGATGCAGGATCAGGTCAGGACTTTGGACAGAAATTTTTCGCGCAGTCAGTTCAACGGTACCGCCCCGCCGAATAACACGGTGCCGAATATGTACGGTACGTATAATCGAGCGCAGGGAAGGCAGGAAAAGCCGACAGTGGCCACGCTAAGTCAGGTACAGGGGAGCGATCCTAATCTGTATGCTGTTACGGAACTCTAATTATGGTCAAAGAAAGAAGAGAGAGAGAGATAAACGATGTCTTATTCAATGAATGAATCGTGAATATTCAAGAAACGTCGTATTTTATCGAGAAAGAGTTTTGTCTTTCGATGAAGCTCAAGTCGTGCGATTCGGAGTTCCTATTTAAGAAGAAAAAACATGGCAAATCGATTTCGGGAATCTGCGATAAAAGCTGAAATAAATAAGGGATGAGGGGACGGGACGAAAAAAAATCTTAGAGACCTTAGAAACTTGTGTGAGACATACTTTATATCCGAGATTTTGTACTTGTATATCATGTACAGTGATTGTGGTACGTCCTTCTGTGTTAGCCTCTCTCTTTATTACAGCGTTCTTAATTAGATCGTGTAATATTTAGAGAGGAATAGGTACTTAAAGAGTGGCGATGAGACGTACGTATTTATTTGGTTGGTTGGTTGATCGGAAAGCTGCATCTTCAACGAATAAGCACAAAGATTTTCACATGAAAGATATTTACATTGACATCATTTACAGAGACTTTACTGTTTCGCTTGTTCATTCTAAATTAGCTGTTAATTTCGCGTACAATGTTTAACTTAAGGAAAGTTATAAATATCGTTGAATGGTCTCCTGAAAATAATACCAAAATATACAATGAAGGGAAGGGAGGAGATACCGAGATACGGTTTTTTATATATACTTTTTACATTTTATCACCGAGGAAATCTACGTTGAATTTTTCTGTGAGATATGCAATACACTTTATATATGTGTGAACGCGTATATATATACATATATATATATATATACACATTTCTAGTTACCGGACGAATGTCTCGTGATTTTTACGAGACACTTTGGCAGAATTCGATTGATTATGCTCGATATAATACTGCCAATGCTTAGGCGAATATATTTTTTAAGTACAAACATGATGGTGTAGCACAGATGTTATGCGTTTTCAGTTTTCGTACGCGAACGATAAAAAAAAGAAAGGAAGAAAGCTAAAACACGCGCATGTATGTTCAACTTATTAGATAAAAAAGATTGGAATCTACTTCCACACAAACAGTACTAATTAAAAGGTACCACATTACTCTTTTTTTTAAGAGCAGTGGAAGAAATGGATCTAAAATCGAATCTTACTACACTTTGTAAGGGACGAGAATGAATTTTCTGCGGAGTGCAGTCTTCCTGAGAGACATTCTGTAACACTAGAGATATACCGGGTATTAATATATAATCTAACGATTATTTGATATTCGTCGAATAGATGAATATTAGATAACTATTTTAACACCAATCTTTTGAAATAATAGATTCACGTAAACGTAAAGTAATAATGATGAAAAGCATTTACGAAAAGGCTGAAAAGAGAAAAAAAAGGCTCATCTTCTAAAAATGTTAATGTAATTTTCAGTAATGATTTCCCGCTTGCTATTAGATATTATTATAACCGCTACGTTTTTTAATCACAAATAATTAGATCTGAGTCAAAAGGAATAATTTTATGTCATAATAATCAGACAAGTGTTGTTTAAGATTATTGTCAGAGCATCTGATTGACAATTCGCCAAATCTTATGCCTGATGATGACTGTAGTGTATTCGGTACATCTCTAATCTATACTATTTAGAAATTTGTATAAGAGTAACAATGGATTTTGCAGCAATTAAAAGTGACTTTATATTGGCATCCGCATATAATTCAGTAAATCTGTATATAAACAGTAACAGTTAAGATTATCGAATAAACGTAAAAAGTGTGATAAATCGAATCTAGATGTTATAATGAATTCGTGGAAGCGTTTTGCCACTTTAGTTGACAGTCTGATACTACGATATTTACGGGATGCGGGAAGGAAAATCGTGCCATTCCAGTGTAACGTATGCATTTATCGCAAAACTACTTTCCAGAATTTTTCTTAGGAACTTGTGTTTAGTCGAATAACAATTATATATATAATTATAATCGCAGTACACACCAAGAATTAAAAAAATGAAAGCGTGAAATAGCAAGAGAACTTAATCCAATGTAAATACTTGTAATATTTATTACAGAGCGCGATAGCTCGTATAGACTAGTAGCATATAGTTTAGTTTAAATGCGCTAATTTAAGTTTTCGACGAGGTAAATATTAATAATAAATGTGTACACGCGGTTATATCGGCCGCGTAATACGAGATGAACAAAAATGTCTTTTGTTCATTTTATATGTAGAGAGAGAAGGATGGAAAAAAGTACCCTAGTCAGTATATAAAGTTGAGTACATTCGATAACAGATGAAAAGATCTCTTGCCAAATTTTTAAACACGGCTCAATTTAATCAAGAAAAAAACAAAGAAAAAAGAACTTAAAAAGAACTGCTCTTTTTCTCAGATATTTGTATCGTCACTATTAATACATATGAAAGCTACTATATTAGTGCGTGATTGCCCCGATACATGTTCTAGATTAAGAAAAAAAATTACTTATCGATCATATACAAAATATCATCCAGCTTCAGTGTTTTTAAAGAAATGTATTTATTATACTCAATATATGTTTATTTGTTTTATTTTTTGTACTAGTGTTCTTTTCTTTTTAGTATTTTTTTATTATTAATTGCATAGTGAGCAGAATTTTATTTATCTTTTATAATGAAAAATAAAGAAAGTTAAAAATCATTGAATATTTTTTTTAATGTATATTTTCTTTTCTTTTTTTTCAATGTTTTACGAAACACTGGAGGTGGATCTTCAGATAGAGGGAAACGAAAGGACATTGTGGTGATTTGAGATTTTACAATAAAGCGCGCAAACGGGATCAATGTACTATTCAAATTTGAAAAATTCATCGAGCGATCGCTTGACGTAAGTCAGTGATAAAATAAATTTACGCTCGAAAGCTAGTTTTTTTCCGCAAAGAAGTATTTGATTCGCGCTCAATTGTATTTTCGGACGAAAGTAGCGAGGGAAAGACCAGTTTACACGCGACCCCGTTTAACATACATATATTCCAAAATAAATCTAGAACAGGAAACAGTTGTTAAACATCTCTTAAACATGCGAAACTTGTAATCTAGACAATTGTTAATGAAATTCTCCTTTATTAGAATCCTTCAATTTCTGTAGTTGAAAATGAGAGTCTGAAGCACACAGTTATGAATCAGAGATTTCTAATGAATGAAAAAGCATTTAAGTTTCTCATGATTTTTATACAATAATAAATACATAATGCATTGTGTGGTGTAAAAGGCGAGAGTATCTGCGAAATAAAAACGAACAAAATGGAAAGGGAGACAGAATGATTGATTGAAAGAAAGAGAATATGTGCATTTGTCTATTACACATATACATATATGTATGCGTGAGAGAGAAAGAGTGAGTGAGAGGGAGAGAGAGAGAGAGAGAGAATGGAAATTTGTTATTTTCAAAGATGATGGGAGTGATACGACGTATAATATATAATACGACATTAAATAACTCGTTTTTTGAATCAGTTTTCTTGGCCTACGGCAATTTTTCACATCGTGAATTAAGAAAAGTAGTTAATAAACGATGAAAATCAAAAGAAGAGGATTAAGGAGAATTGAATTGGATGCTGTACACACAAATACGGATACGCGTGACAGACAAGAAAAACCTGCACGGAGAGAATTTTTCGTTATATTTTACTGCAAAATTCACTACAAACATTATCATAAATGATCATGCTGTATTGTAAAATTTATATAAAATATTTTATATATTTATCACTTTTTTGACATTTATTCTATTTAAAATACTTAAAGAATCATAAGTTTTTTTTATACATTTTAAAATTATTGAAATTTTACTATATATTTTAGTAAAATTAATCGAACATATTTTTTATATCTTATTGTAGTAGATTTTTATTGTGGTAAATATTAATCAGAGAAACTCTTATAAAATTATTCCAATATCATATTATTTTCAATTCATTACCATGAATTTTAGAATAAAAAATTCTAAGAGAAAATTCTCTCTGTGTAGAGGAGACCTAAGCTTTTGTGCACCCTTTTAAGACTGATACTGGATATATACCGAAGAAGATCCAGGGCTCTAATGTTTTTTCCCTATATTCGTATTATATAAGTACATAATCTTTTACACGTGTTCGGTACATGGGATAGGGATGTTTATGTCTGTCACGATTATTTAATGATGTCCATCGATACAACTTCTGTTCAATATTTTTTCAATTTATGTTGCATTTCCGATGCAACTTTTTTGCTATGTCTATTATAGCGAAAAATGTAGATAATATATATATATTATTAGTTTTTCTTGCGCATTTCTCTCTCACTGCGCGGAAGAGATTCGTTTACAAAGTATGTAGAGGCTACTCGACTACTCCAGAAACTTATATAAGTTATATATATATATATATTACGTCTTTGTTTGTATGTGTGCGATTACGCGAAATTTTGATGTAATATAAAAGAGACTTATCTCAAAGAGGTATATATATATATATAAGAAACATCACACAGAGAATGAACGAAGCTCGTTAATCGATACCACTTTTGTATATTACGATTGTGTCTATAATTGCCATATTCCGGATTTAATTCCTCCTATTGTAACGGAACATGAATATTAAAAAGAGAAATAAAAGCCCAAGATCCATAATTACTGATCGCGTTGCGATATGAATTTATAGAATCGTTATAAAATTCGTAACTTATAAATGTTGTGGAACGTAAAAGAAAAACGTTAATCTCTATTCTATATTACAATATTTCATAGTCATTAGCAATACTTTATTACAACAAGTTTGGTACATAAATATACATACTGCTTGATTTCTTTTCATCTTCGACATTTTTCAACAATTTACGAATATCTCCTAATTGCGCGGTATATAATTGTTGATCTTAATCATTGCAATATTTTATCTTGATTTCATCATCGATTACATAATACAAGAGCAATAATACAGATCATTTTTTCTATTTTATGTAGATGGGAATATAAGTTTTTTTCTTTGGAATCATTGCTTACAGTTTTCGAATACCTTCAGAACACTTTTCTCATAATATTTTCATACAAATATCTATACTCCATAATCTTTCGTAAAAGATACAAATATACATAGAGAGGAGAGAAAGAAAGTTTTTTAATTACATTTTAATTACAATATTGTGCTTATGGAAATTTTAAACTTAACCAGTGCGAATAATAAATTTAAAGATTAGTAATTTAAAGAGAATAAAATAGAGTTAGAGAGTAAAAGGAAAAATTTTTAAATAACTTTGATAAAAAAAAAAGTTGACCATAAGCATTTTTGAGATAGCATAAGAGGATTAAACAGTATCTAGTATATTTTATATATAAAACTTTACTATATTCAACAATAAATAATTTTACTGTAACATAATAAAAAAAATATATCTGTCAAAATATATTTCGTCAAGTGCAAATTAATATCAATAAGATATGAGAAGGAGAAGCAGGAGACAACTGATTAGAAGAGAAAATGATTTTGTTCTAATTCTTATTGTTTCAGAAGCTACTACCAAGCTATGCACTTATTAGCAATTCGCGTTAAGAGAAAATTCGCATTTATTCATATTCTTCATGGAATCGTCACGAATCTGTTCATAATATTTTACAGTGTATCAAGATTCATGTTTGTTTCTGCATCTTTGTGAGTGGACCGCTGGTAACCGAAATAAAAAGACATGCTTCAAGGAAAATAAACGCGACATCGATTACCGAAGCATCGTAAAAAACTCGCGAATATAAATTTCTAGAATTAACAGACATTTTTCAGTGTAAAATTGTTACGCGTGAACTTATCATAAAAGTAACATCGCGCTACGTGTATCAGTCTAGTAAGTACATGGACCACTCCATGATTAAGTCGCGATCGTTTAATAGCGAAAATAAGCAGTGAAGTTTGTGAAAAGAGACATTACGTGAGAAGGTGAGAAAGAGTTTTGGTTGAAAGTATCAGCGGTAGGGAAAAAAATTAAAACTGTCGCGCGCGTTTCATTTTATCCAGCAAAATAAGTTGTACAGATATTTTACGGTCTAATACTTCGCAGATATAAAGAGTACCTGACGGTGAGAAACATCTTAAGTGTTTCATGTTCAAAGTATAGCGTCGCTCCTTTGTCAAGATTAACGACGACTTGGAAACAATGTGTGCTCTCGATGTACCATAACAGTAAAAACTGTTTACTACGACTTCAATGTTTGCCCCGACTCTTCCTTGACTTGGGGCTGAAGACTGGCACTGTTTATCAGAGGCATGCTCTTGCCGCTCTGTAGGCTAGAATGACTGGACGATCGACTGTGACTCTGACTACTAGCACCGACTGGCGTTTGCACCAGAGGTTGAGGCGGAGTTCTGGCACCGGAACCGTTGCTGTTCGCGAAATTAGGTTGCAGTTGCATGTGGTACTTGTAGATATTTTCCGTACTCTCCACAATACCTGTTTTAATAAATAAGTATATTATATTAGATATATTATTTAATTATAATTATGATTACATTTTGTGTATGCAAACTCTATATAAAATTAATAATTACCAGCTTGCAAATTTAAACTACGACCGCGAACGCCAGTTTCTTTCGAAATGGGACTCCACCAATTGACAAAAGTTCCTACTACGGGGACGTGCCTAAGGATACCCTCCTGCCATAATTTTTCTGCGTTTTCCCTCTCGAGATCGGTTTGCGCCGTCTCAATACCTCTTTTAACTACTTCAGAAATGGTATCCATCATTTTAGAACTGGCTTCCACCTCCTGGCCAACTTGTAAGACTAAGGATAACAGTTCGGCGACGTCTGGAAGTAACAGTCGTAGTGATAAAAGATAATGTAATGTGTTTAAAAAAAAGAATGCATTTTGTTTGCCTCACCTGTGTCTTGCGTCACCATGCCAAATCGTACGCAAGCCAAGCCGTCCGCGCCTTCTCCTAGAGAAAACGCGGCGTCCGTGCTACGTAGCGTTTCGACTAACTGCATATTTAATTTGTTCAATTCGTCCTTCGCCTGATCGGTCATAACGTGAATCCAAGTAGGCGGTGCGTAACGCACACCTCCTAAACCCGCCCAACCCGGCATTTCCACTAAATGTAAAGAATCATTCTCTGAGACTAAGCGTACGAAGGTGTCTTTGTGTTCCACTGTCGCTAGTAATATTTCCTATTCAACGAAATTGCGATAGTGTTACTAACGAATTTACAATTGACGTTGGATGATTAATCCAAGATGTGAGGTACCGTATTCCTATCGCATCTTTAACGTTAAATGCTTTTGCCAACTTTAAATTATTCGTTTCCGATCATGTTGGAATTGTGACGTCAGAGGCGAGAAAACATATGCTAAAAATTTTTAGATGCTATTTTGAAATGAAAAGATACTTCGATGAAACAGCATTTCAGATGGCTTTAGCACACTTTTAAAATACCTGGAATATCAGCGTATGCTTTTTCGCCTTTGACGTCATAATCTAACATGTGGCCGCAGTGAGAATCCAGCAGCCTTAAAAACAGATTATAAAAAGAAAAATGCTACATGCATTTATTGTTAGTATAAGTGTGATAGGAATACAGACCGACGAAATCCAAGATATTCTTACTATTTGTTGTTCAAGACAGGTCACTAAATTATTTATATCTTCGGTCGTAGGCGGCTGATCGGGATTCTCCAACGGACAGATACGAATCGCGACACCGCACTGTTCTATATCACAAAGTTCTATTTGTACATTATCAATGTCCCTCTGAAGAATCTGCCCCAACCAGGAGTTTAATTTGTCGTAATAGGGTAGTACGCGCTCCAAGGCTTGAAGATCCTTATGCGCAGGTACGAATTGAAAAACTAACGCGCTCGCTACAACTTCGAATAACTGTGAATTGTTTATAGGATTGTTTGCGAGATATTCGCTTAAAGTGTAAGACTCCGTCTCACCGCCTGGCGATTGACTCTGAAAGAGAATGAACGAGAAATTTTTATTTCATAATGTAGTTTCTTTTTTTTCAGCGAAGAGCTTATATTCTTTTGAAACTTACCAATATTCTAATGCAAGAGAACTCTTTAATTTTATTGTACAACTCTTCCACAGCCAAGAAACATCTTTTAAATCTGTTGTATATTCCATCTCGACCGAGAGCTTGTAAAACGGTCCACAAGGGTAAAGTTGGCAATCTTCTCGACAGTGAATCTGCCATCAGTCCTGAGACTAGTGACAAGGTAGTGTCTCTCGGTGTAGGCCTTCCTCCTTTAATATCTGCTAATCTATACAATGTCTATAAGAGAATATTAAGGAAGAATAATTGAAGCATAACTGATCGATGTAAAAGAACATAATAGCAATTATATAGAATATAAGAACAGCAAAAATCAATATTTCTTAGATATCAAAAAAAAATTTTAATTTAGTTATAATCATTATTAGTCTATCATTTGTTTTTAAAAATTTAAAAGGATACGACTACTGGTAGCGAAGGTATACCTAACCATGTGCCGAGTGGTAACGTAATGCTGTCCGCTATTTTCGACGGCTGCAATATAAAAAAATTTTTAAATTCAAAAAATACGTTTGACGATAAGGAATAAGTCACTTTGTCAAGAACACTTTATGCCAATAATTACCAAATCTTTCGCAGAGTTGTTCAACGCGAGCGCAGCCAGCGAATGTCCTCTGAGATGTAACCAGACGTTGTACTTGTCGCATATCGCTCGTAATCGCGTAATATTGTCGCAATGACCCGTCAACACAGAACCGGCTTCGGCCAATACCAACAATGGTGTTACATTGTTTGATTGAGTGTCCTCTGCTAAGCGTCGCTCCAATGCCGAGACGTCCATGGTATGCCTCGAGCCAAACATGGTGTTATGTGGGATTGGTCTTATGCATTGAAGCGGCAAAGAGAGCTGCGGGAACATAATCAAATCCTTTAGCGTGTTTTATATGTTTCAATCAATAATCTTCAAATATATATATATAAGAACATATTTATTGTAGGATATAATATATATATCCTACAATAAATATGTTCTTTTCAGATGACTAGTTCAGAGTTTATCTTTTTTACTCAACATTAGAAGGAAAGAGCTAAACTCAACTAACATTAAATTCTAAACTAGTGCAGCCAGTTCAGCTGAAAAGAGTAGACTTAATAATTCGATTCCGAACAAAGTGGAATAAAAAATCCAGGAATATCACCTGTCTGCACAAGTGTTGAACGACGCCTATGGGCGCCGCGACCGAGCTGTAAATTAAGGGAGTCTGTGACACGAACGCGGTGAAGCCCTCCTCCATGTATCGAGGATATTTTCGGTGTAGGGCGAGCCGCGTCACCCTGACCAGCCCCTCCAGGTGATCCTCGTGGAAGGAGGATGCGCAATCGACGAAACGAAAGATGTGACTGAGCCATCTCGTAGTGTCGGCCGCGAGACGTCCGGCGAGCTTTTGTGCGTGTGACTTTGGTAGAGCTATCGCATAAGCTGAAACGGTGTGCGTGACTAAGGCCAATTTTGCAGCATCGGTTAGAGTTGGCAGAGCTGTGATTTGACTGATTGGGACGTCCGTGGAACCTTCGACCGATTGCGGCGCGTCCTCGTGAACTACCAAGTCCTGTGGAACAGAAAATTTTCAATGAAATCGGATGTCTACTTTCTCATGATGTATTTATTATTATCAGGCACATGTTTTTATTTAATATTATTATTAATAGTAAAAAATATATTATAATATTAAAATAAATCTAATAAATATACACGTGCACACATGACAATCAAAAGAAAATAATAAGAAAGAAAAGAAAAAAATATTATCTTATTATCATTATTAATTTACTTAGTATTATATGATTATTAAAAAAATTAATTGATAAATTGTTGATTACAAAAGAAGAATCATACAATAAAAGAATCTCTTGTTTCTTAAAAAAAACATCCAATTTGCGGGAAAAAAATCATCCAAAGAGAAAAGAATCTATATCCTTCTTGCGATTGTTAATTCTGTTGCAATTTAACTGTATCGTTGTTGCAACAGGACGTGGGGCAAAACACACCGCCACGTGATAAGCAATCACCGAGGGCTATCGCGTTACCGGAACGGCCAATCGGTTTCTGCTAGCAACACAACAAACACACCTACACCCCAAACACATATACATACATATATATATATATATATATACATCCTGTCACTCGTTCACCTGTATCAACGCCAATATCTCGTCCGGTTTCTTGGGCTGCGACAGGAATCCTGAGGGGTTGTTCCACGTGGTGCCGCCGTGGAGGTTTCCCTCGGCCTCACGCTCCACCGCTTGCTCGAGCCGCGCGATCACCTGGGACGCCTGGAAGTGCAACGCGCCCAGCTCGGTGGCCGCGGACGGCGGCCCGTCACCTCCGGCACTGACCTGTCAAGAGACAGAACTCCGTGGTTAACCTCCGTCTTACGAGCGCGTCGCCGATCGCGAGTATACCGATCGTCGACCGCGTCGTCCGATTATCCTAGGGCCTCAGGGCGAGTCGTCCCGTCACTCGTCGCCGAGTTATACCCACCTCGAGGATGTTTTGCGCTATACTTTCCATCGCCGCGTTATCGTTTGTGTCAGCCTCCTCGGCCATCGTGGCAGTAGTCGTGGCTGCCAGTAGCGTAGCCTCGTCGAGGATTGATGTTCCTGTATCCCTGTAGCTGCTCTTGTAATTTTTTTTTTTATAAAATATGTTTATATATAGAAATCTGTTCTTAGGATAATTTATATTTAAAATTTTTGGAGAATTTTATGTGAATTTCTTTAAGGTTTTGCGAAAGACGAGAAGGAACGGGGCCTCGCGAATTTGTAGCTGCTCTTGTCATTTTTAAAAAATAAAATATGTTTATATAGAAATGCGTTTTTAGGGCAATTTATATTTGAAATTTTTAGAGAATTTTATGGGAATTTCTTTAAGGTTTTGTGTGCAAGAGGCGAGAAGGAACGGGGTCCCACGAATATGTGAAACGGCACTTATTTTATCGATATGGCTGTTACAGCGCCATTCGTTCAATTCGCAAGTACTTTGGAATGTTTGGGTCAGTTTGTGTTCAATTGAGTTCTCGTGTATTTTTTGTATATTGCGAAAATACGTAAAAAGTAAAGAGAGTGTTTGGAATATTCGAGTTGCTGATGGATCTTCAATTTTTCTTATTGAACATAATTGAGTTATTTATTAAATTAATTGAGCTGTATTTTATAAGGAACGTGTTCTGTTACAGTCTATTAATTGATATCGCTTTTATCCAATTTTATGGCTTTTTTAAATCATTTATCTATCAATGAACATTTGCTCGAAGCATCGTAATTGCGATATAGGGATTATTTCTTTCAATGTTGACAAGTGAAGATTTAGAAAGAGGAAGGCATTCAGTAATTTAAAAAAAACATTGAATATAAAATGATTTTAATATAAAATAACTTTGCATACACATATTCATCTACATACAACTATCACGAGCAATTAAAGATAGTAAATTGATGGAAAATGATTTTCGTTTCCAAATATTGTATATATAAACAAAAATACACATTTCTGTAATATATTTTGATAAAATTATATTTGCTTTTTAATTTATATAAATTTAGAAATCTTATTTCATTGAAAGAAAAAAGATATGTTATATATTACTCAGATAATTTCATTCTTGTAAAAAATATATTACACATAATTTATATATATTAATTTATATATATTGATATTTGTTGAATGTCAGAATCTTATAAATATGTGATAACAAAAATGAAATAGTAGTTTTCTGCAATATAGGAGTCATAGAAAATATCATTTTGTAAGTAAATGTAAATTTTTACTATATAATATTACATGTAACAATATATGTAATCACACATGATTTATTATACTATTTCGATTTTAGCACCAACCTTTACAAGAGAGTCTTTCAATTTCTCTGCTTCCTCTTTTGCCAAATCAGCCTTCACTATCGTAGGTGCACTTTCGACAAACTTCTTTGCCTATTTTAGTATCATACATAAGAGAAAATTAATTTTCAATAATACTACATTTGATATTTAAAAAGTCGATTAATAATTTAATACCTGAACAAGATTTGTGTCAGGTAACAGGCTCTTAATTTCCTTTATTAGAGCTACCTTTTGTTTATCATCAAATCCTGTCAATTTAACAGTAAATGACGTTTGTACTTTCTTTTGTGTTTGCTCTTCTTCCTCCTAAACAGGATAAAATAAAAAATAAATCTCTCGCAACTATTTAAAAAAGTTAAAAAAATTTATATATATATATATATATATATATATATATATATATAAACTTAATTCTATTTTCCACTATTTTCTAATTTAATTAAACATAATAAGATTACCTCAGGTGCCTGAAATATGGCAGCAAATCCAATTTTAATTAAACATAGCATGAATTTAATATTATTGCAAAAAAGAGTTACATTTCATAAATAGAACTTATGATACAAGTTACCTCAACCTGAGGCCCAGCAGCAAATCCTCCAATAGGCATGACAGGTGCATCTGGTAAATTCAGTCGCTTCTTTAACAGATCACTGAGCTGCGCTACTTCAATCAGATTGAGAGCGCTTATGTCATTAGCTATTTTGTCGATTTTCGGATCCACCGATTTGTCAGCACCCGAAGGAGGTGGTCGTGAAATCGATGTAGATTCAGTCACTGCTGCTGCAGTCGCTGATTCCGCTCGTCGAATAATACTAAACACATATATTCAACAAATATATATATTATTGAAATAATCATTTCTTTTTTTAGGAAAATATTTCCAGAGTAAATTTCACCTAATATATTTACTACTTAACTCTTTCTTATCATTTTATTGACTCCAATTATTTTTTATTAATTTTAATAAAATAAAATAAACTTAATATTAATAAAACTTTATATTATTTATATTATTTCGAATTAAAATAATTGCGGTAAGCAAATAAGGTTATGTAAGCATACTCGTTTGTATAATTATATGCACTCGTATTAGAGACATCTCAATTTTACCATTTGTGAAATTGACGAAATTGATGAGGGTTCTGTCGAGATATCAGACGGAATGTGTTTATCATCTTGAAATTAATTAATTAGAAAACCGCTTGCGACAATGTGAGACAAAAATCCGGTTATCAGACAGTAAACGAATAACCTAAATTCAACCATAGAATAACTGAGAATTGAAGAGTGAAGACTGCAGAGCTGGACTATATTTATTGAACGTACTGATAGGGAATTTCTAGAGTTTTCACAATTTAAAGACACTAGATTGTTTTAATTAGCGCGCCCTTTTTTTTGAGATATAAGATATATTACAAACTACAACTAAAAAATACCTTTTTTTAAAAAATATATCTGTGTCAATGTGTAAAAAATACAATTTAATATATGAATATAATCAAATATAAAAAAAAGATAATAATACATATTGATAATCAAGATTTTTATATTATACATTTTGTGTATTTCGTAACTTGATACACAGCTATATAACTATGTATATATATATATATATATATATATATATATATATATATAAAGAGCGAACAGTTCTTCACAAATCGATATATTATATGTGTTACAGATAAAGAAGACAAAATGTAGTCATAATTCTTTATTTGATAGTAAATATATATATTAAATAATTAAATTAATCTTTCAAATATATATATATATATATATCTTTACACATCAAAATAAGAAAAAATTATAAAAGTTTAATTATAACAAAAAAAAGTAAAATAATATTTGTATAAAAATATAATATATTTAAATAATACATTATATATATGTTATATAGAAATATAGAATATATTATATTTAGAAAATATATATATATATCGAATATATTTTTTATAAAAGATATATAGAATATATTATTATCATAAATAATATATTTTATATAAAATATTTTCATAATTAAATATTTATAATTTTTACATGAAAAGGTTTAAAATGTGAATATGTATATTAATTAATATGTATTAAAATGTGAATATGTATTAATAATTAATATGTATTAATTTTGTAATAAAATACAATTATTAATTGCGTCTTATTTCATTAATTATAGCGACATCAAATGGATAATCTCTCGCTAACATTTCATTAGGCAAATAATAATCGTCTTCAAATCTATAAAAATATCGTCCTATCTCTCTATTATTAATCCATCTTGGTGAGTCACATTTCGATACAATCTCTGAAATTAAAAAAAATGATATTTTATAACAATTTTTATAATAAATATTTTATAATAAATTTTGTAATAAAAAAGATGTACTCTACATATATCTAATATAAATCTCTATAAACGCATAATTTTAACTATTTGAATTTTTTGTCTATATATATATATATATATATATATATATATATATATATATAAAGTATATATAATTAAGTATATGTATATATATAATAGGTATAGATAATGTCTACACACACAAATAATGCTATACTTCATATACACTTAAATACATATATTATTATGACTTAAAAAATGATAATATACCGTGTTCCGCATAACAGAACAAGTCATTGTCACATAAAATTACGTAGTATGGTTTATGTGTACTACACTCCGAATCTGTACACTGCCAATTTGTGCATAACACATTTAAATAAAAAGGAAAATTGTTCAATTTTATAATACACGCTGGAGGATAATAATAACTAGTCCAACCAACTATCACCCCAATGTGATTTTGATCAATCTTACATCTATGGGTTACTATTGTTCCAATCACAAATTTTAGTTTTGGCGATCTTTCTTCCACAAATTTTTTTTTGGAATCGTGAAATCACAAAACCACTGTAAAGTAAATATGTAACATTATAATATAATTATTATATTAATACTTCTTTATAAAGAGTGATGTTTAAAATTAATTTTATATTGATTTAAATTACAAATAATTATATATAGATTAAAAAATATTAATAAAATAATAAATATTAATTATAGATAATTATATAAACAATGTTTATACAAGTTATACAATAGTATATTATAATAGATATAGTAAAGTAAAAGTTACCATCATTACGTCTGTAATATTTATATATTGTCTTAATAGCATACAACTCAGCATATTTATCTCTCCTGGATGAAGTGTTTGTAATTCTTTTTCCAAATGGTCAACTAATTTTGTTATTGTCTTTAAAAAAATAGACATTTTTAAAAATCCAATATAAAGTATAATATATATATATATGTATTATCTTAAAAATAAACCTAATAAAATTCCGATTGACAAAAAAATTAATTACTAAAATAATTAATAGAGATTATACATAAATTGCCAAAACCAACCTTGTAGTGACATCTTTTATCTATACTACGATGATTCGGCACCAAGAAGAATCGACCGGACTGCAAACCAATACTATAATATCCTAATCCGTTATTACTGAAAACATTAAAAAATATATATATACATAAAGACAACAAACACGAAATATAGTATACACACATTATATGTATACGCATAATCAATTATAATTATTAAAAAAAGCAATGCAAGCAGAGCGCTATATAGATGTTTAAAAAAATTCTATTCTCGAAAACTCTAATAAATTATATTTCCGTAAATGATGCAAATTAAAATTAGACTAAATAAGTCAGATTTAGAAGACAAATTATACAATTCATATATAGATTATGATATATTAAATAAAAAAATTGTGCGTGCTCTCTTTCTCTCTAAAGTTAAAGTTATGCTTACTCTATCGGTTTCCAAAATATTTGAAGCAAACAGCCTCCTATTAGAAGAGAGTAAATGCCGAATCTTCGCAATACACTGTGATATATTGTTAGTAGAAATAGTTTTTCACTGCCCTCTGAAATCTAAATAGGCATAAATAAGAATGGTAAAAGTGATTATATTTGAAAAACAGAGTGAATATATTATAGTTCTAGAGAATAATGCAAAATATATTATTACAACGTGCAGTTTATTATAATTATAATACCTTGCATAATATAATAACTTACATTATATGCATCTTGATTTTGGTGTGTTAACCATAACTGATTTAATGTTTGGAAATTTGTTTGAGAGAATATAATTCTTTCTGTTATAAACGAAATTGGCAATATTTCTTTATAATTCCAATAACTGTAATTGATATTATTGGTTTTCCAGTAAATATAGTGCTCGTTAGCCACCGTTAATATAGGATGCTTGGGACATTCTTTCCTAAGAGTTTGCAACACTTGTTGTGCAATCTTATCTAATAATGCTTGTATGCGTGAATAGGAGACATGCTGTAGAGGTGTAAACCATTGTACTACAATAGTAACCAACTGTTCTAAAAATTGTTGTTCTTTGGGTTTATTTATAAATTTTAGATATTTAAACCGGGTACGAGAATGTCTTATTAATCGAAAAATGAAGCGGCTATTAAATCTTCGTGTTAAATCGTGACCAGGTTCCCTGACAAATTTACATATAAATTACTTATTAATACTTTAATTGTTTAAATACATTGGTATATAAAATTGTGTTATTTATAAATATTTTGAATTTAGGATTCATTAAGTTGTACCGTGCAGATTGTGCAAAAATTCTTTTGAATTCATCTAGAAGAAGAAAATAATTCGTTGAACCTGCGTTTGAGTAAAGGAAATCTAAAAGCAAGTCTTTCTTAATATCATCGTTTGAATTATCCATGAATAAATAATGTACAAATTCCCACATTTTTTTCGCAAATTTTGCATTTTCTTTTAACTCCTTTTTAAAATCTATTTGCTGCAAATCTTCGCTTTTCATTTTATCATAAACATTTTTCATAGTAGGCCATCTAAAAACAAAAGAAAAAAGATACCTTACATAATTATTGAAAATTATATTAATAAACAACGTCATTGTATTAGAGGCAAACTTCAAAATTTAAAGATACATAGCATTTATTATATATAAGTAGGGAAAATTTGTAAAAAAAGTGCGAAAAATTGTGTTACATCTATGATATGTTTTCACTTTTGACAAAGTTCTTAAATAGAACGTTTCTTCAAAAATTTTTCTAAAATTAGAAATATAAAGCTATAGATTTTATAAACTATGATTTTAATTTAGAAGATTATGTAATTTTTTATATATTTTATCTTAAAGAAGAGCTATACATATAACTATCAATGCTAGAATTAAATTAATAAAATAATAAATTAATAAATTAATAAAATAAAAATATAGAATCTCTAAAATGTCATATTTCGTTAGATTCTTGACAATACGTTCTTTAAACAAATTTGTAAAAAAAGGAATTAATAAAAATGTAACCTACCTTTGATAGAATTTTTTTATCCAAAGAATATTGCCCCATTCTATTTGTCTAAATGTCTTACACGTGGAACTAAAATACTCGATGTCCTTTATGCTGAGTTTCTCCAAAATGATAAGAATTATTTCGTTAGGCAAAAACATTATTGTAGCCATGGTAGTAACTGAGCAAAGAATAAATCTTACACTTTGCCAGATAATCGAACCGAATCTCTTGGTTTTATATATTTATTTAATAAATAAATCTCTTAATTTTATATATTACGTAATAAATGAATCTCTTAATTCTTTATAACTAATTTTGATTATAGAATGCTAGCACACAAACAAAACTATAGTATTTATTGAATTTGCATACTTGTTCGATAGGAATGTTTGATTTCGAATCAAGATCTCAAGTCGATTTTTTAAATTCAATTTTGATACAAATTAATTATTTTAATAGAAAATGTTTTCTCATTCTTCACTCACTTATTAGGAGCGCTATCCTAATGTAACTGTAATAATTGTCTGTCCAATAACAATGTTTGTATGGCTTACATGACCGACAAAAATAAACTAAAGTTATTCTGTATTTTATACATATATATATTAATAGTTATCGTAAACAACGATACTTTATTATTACAAACACAATAAGGATATTATAAACTTTCAGCGAATAATGTAAAAGTCATATAAGAAATAATAATGAGCAACAAGACAAAACATGTATATAAAGTAATAAATTTTTTTGAAATTATGACGGTGATTTCAGTTATAATAAAACATGATTAAAAATCGATACTCGAAGAAATTATGTGTATTAATTTAATAGTAATAATAATAATGATATAAATATATGTATATATATATATCATTATTATTAATATTATTAAATTAATACACATAATTTCTTCGAGTATCGATTTTTAATAATGTTTTATCATAATATACGGAATTTATTTTATTAAATTATATATATATTCCTATGATGCTATCAAATGCTTTTCGGTAATGTGTCACCGTTTTCTCGAAAATAAGAAATAAAATCTATGCAATTTCATGTCAAGTTTATGACCTCGAGTGACTTATTCTTCTTTTTATAAAATATAATACCGTTCTAATTAGAAAACAAAAAACATTTTCTTTCTCAACGCCTACACGGTGTCTCGAATAAAGAAGAATAAAATATTACCAATGAGAATGGCAGAAATATTACATTACGTAGATAATTAGTCGAAGAAAACTGTATAAATGCCTCTCTCTCTCTATTTTTTCAGAGTATTACAACAATATATTTTAAATATAAAAATTTTCTCAGAAAAATTTTTTTATTTTTTTCATTTCATATTTTTTAAATATATAAAATAAATAATTTTTCTATTTTATAATGTATAAATATTTTGAAAATTTAATTTGGAATATAAAATAATAAATAGTACTTATTTTCTAATTAAAAAATTCTTATAGCAACAATGCTGTACATCTTATACTTCAAATATTATTTTGATTACGTGTAATCTGCATCAATAAATTATTTTAGGAAGCTCAATAAAAAGCATGATATATATAATTATAGAGAGAAAGACACAGAATATTTTAATAGCCACATGAAGTGCACCGGTAGCATAAATATTGTTACGTACATGAGTCAAATTTAAAACACTTATATACATTCGATCTTTAAATAAATAGCTGTATTAAATGTATTAATTCGACAGAGACGTGAAAAGAGACAAATTAATCAAATTTTAGACATAGGCAAAACTTAATTAAAAGCGATACGTGAATTTACATGATTGTTCGGAAAATAATGAACAAAATTAATTTAGTGTCAGTTGCTAAAATTAATCTAACTTTTCATCATTTATCAAAATACGGAAAGCGACAGCATTTCGATCGCAAGCCTCGTCAATGTAAAAATCGAAATTTAAAATTGTGACCCAACTTTAAAATAAAGCAAATCCGATTACGCAGTATTATTTAATATTGTTTCTAATTGTGGGAAGTGATTTTCGTTTTGCTTGTAGTTGTACGCTTTAAAAAATATATTTAAAGAAAACTGTCCAAGTTGATTCTTGTCAAATTTCAAGATTTTCGAATTCTGCTTTTTCCATAAAGATATTTTTCAATTGAACATATTCTAAACAATAAATATCGATTCTAAATACGACTAAGCATGAGAATTTGAAAATTCTTAAAGTTGGTCACTTTTTAAATATTTCGCTTCGAAATCGACATTGATCTATCTTCGCTTAGAGATTTTTAGTCGCACTTGAAAATGCCGTGTCTTTAATTAATAAACGTAAATGTGGCACCATAATTTAAAGAATTAATTTTTTAATACGATAAACGACACCATTCCGATCGCAAGACTCGTCAATGTAAAAATCGAAATTAAAAATTGTGACCCAACCTTAAAATAAAGCAAATCCGAATACGCAATATTATTTAATATCGTTTCTAATTGTGAGAAGTAATTTTGGTTTAGCTTATAATTGTACGCTTTAAAAATTACAGTAATTTAAAGAAAACTGTCTAGTTAAACCTCTTCAAATATCAAAATTTCGAATTCTGCTATTTCCATTAATATATTTTTCGATTGAAAATGTTCTTACCAATAACAATCAATTCAAAATACGACTAAGCATATAAATTTTAAATTAATAAAAAATGGTCACTTTTTAAATTTTTCGCTTCAACATCGAAATCAATCTATCTTCGCTTAAAGACTTTAAACGCACTTGAAAATGTGTTTTTAAAATATATTAATGTGAATCTGACAGCTGACTTTAAGGAATACAGTTTTTTAATACCGAAAATGATAGTACATCGATAATTCGCGTCGTCAGTCGAAAAATCAAAAATTCAAATTTTTCACCAAATTAAAAATAACGCAAATCCAAATCAAAAGTCTTATTAAGAATCGTTTATAGATGTGTAAAGTGAATTTTGTTTCGCTTTAAGTCGCACACTTTAAAAAATACAGCTGTTTAAACAAAACTGTCAAAAATGAATTTTTTCAAAATGAAAATAACGCAAATCCAAATCAGCAGTCTTATTAAGAATCGTTTATAGAATTGTGAACTGAATTTCGTTTCGCTTTAAGTCGCACACTTTAAAAAATACAGCAGTTTAAACGAAACTGTGAAAAATAAATTTTTTCAAATAAAAATAACGCAAATGCAAATCAGCAGTCTTATTAAGAATCGTTTATAGAAGTGTGAACTGAATTTCGTTTCGCTTTAATTCGCACACTCTAAAAATTACAACAGTTTAAACAAAACTGTCGAAAATGAATTCCTTCAAATTTCAAGATTTTAAATTCTGCTCTCTACATCGATGTAACATTCGAAGGCGAATGTCCCGAACCACAAGAAACGATTCTAAACACGACTAAACATGTATATTTCAAATATCTTAAATCTTGTCACTTTTAAATTTTTCGCTTACACATCGAAATCGATCTATCTTCGCTTAAAGACTTTGAACGCACTTGAAAATGTGTTTTTAATATATATTAATGTGAATCTGACAACTGACTATAGAAAATTAATTTTTTTAATACCGAAAATGATAGTACGTCGATCGCTCGCGTCATAAGTGAAAAAATCAAAAGTTCAAGTTTTTCACCAAATTGAAAATAACGCAAATCCAAATCAGCAGTCTTATTAAGAATCGTTTATAGATGTGTGAACTAAATTTCGTTTCGCTTTAAGTCGCACACTTTAAAAAATACAGCAGTTTAAACAAAACTGTAAAAATGAATTTTTTCAAATTGAAAATAACGCAAATCCAAATCAGCAGTCTTATTAAGAATCGTTTATAGATGTGAACTGAATTTCGTTTCGCTTTAAGTCGCACACTTTAAAAAATACAGCAGTTTAAACAAAACTGTGAAAAATGAATTTTTTCAAATTGAAAATAACGCAAATCCAAATCAGCAGTCTTATTAAGAATCGTTTATAGATTGTGAACTGAATTTCGTTTCGCTTTAAGTCGCACACTTTAAAAAATACAGCAGTTTAAACAAAACTGTGAAAAATGAATTTTTTCAAATTGAAAATAACGCAAATCCAAATCAGCAGTCTTATTAAGAATCGTTTATAGATGTGTGAACTGAATTTCGTTTCGCTTTAAGTCGCACACTTTAAAAAATACAGCAGTTTAAACAAAACTGTCAAAAATGAATTTTTTCAAATTGAAAATAACGCAAATCCAAATCAGCAGTCTTATTAAGAATCGTTTATAGATGTGTGAACTGAATTTCGTTTCGCTTTAAGTCGCACACTTTAAAAAATACAGCAGTTTAAACAAAACTGTCAAAAATGAATTTTTTCAAATTGAAAATAACGCAAATCCAAATCAGCAGTCTTATTAAGAATCGTTTATAGAATGTGAACTGAATTTCGTTTCGCTTTAAGTCGCACACTTTAAAAAATACAGCAGTTTAAACAAAACTGTGAAAAATGAATTTTTCAAATTGAAAATAACGCAAATCCAAATCAGCAGTCTTATTAAGAATCGTTTATAGATGTGTGAACTGAATTTCGTTTCGCTTTAAGTCGCACACTTTAAAAAATACAGCAGTTTAAACAAAACTGTGAAAAATGAATTTTTTCAAATTGAAAATAACGCAAATCCAAATCAGCAGTCTTATTAAGAATCGTTTATAGAATTGTGAACTGAATTTCGTTTCGCTTTAAATCGCACACTTTAAAAAATACAGCAGTTTAAACAAAACTGTGAAAAATGAATTTTTTCAAATTGAAAATAACGCAAATCTAAATCAGCAGTCTTATTAAGAATCGTTTATAGATGTGTGAACTGAATTTCATTTCGCTTTAAGTCGCACACTTTAAAAAATACAGCAGTTTAAACAAAACTGTGAAAAATGAATTTTTTCAAATTGAAAATAACGCAAATCCAAATCAGCAGTCTTATTAAGAATCGTTTATAGATGTGTGAACTGAATTTCGTTTCGCTTTAAGTCGCACACTTTAAAAAATACAGCAGTTTAAACAAAACTGTCAAAAATGAATTTTTTCAAATTGAAAATAACGCAAATCCAAATCAGCAGTCTTATTAAGAATCGTTTATAGAATTGTGAACTGAATTTCGTTTCGCTTTAAGTCGCACACTTTAAAAAATACAGCAGTTTAAACAAAACTGTGAAAAATGAATTTTTTCAAATTGAAAATAACGCAAATCCAAATCAGCAGTCTTATTAAGAATCGTTTATAGATGTGTGAACTGAATTTCGTTTCGCTTTAAGTCGCACACTTTAAAAAATACAGCAGTTTAAACAAAACTGTCAAAAATGAATTTTTTCAAATTGAAAATAACGCAAATCCAAATCAGCAGTCTTATTAAGAATCGTTTATAGATGTGTGAACTGAATTTCGTTTCGCTTTAAGTCGCACACTTTAAAAAATACAGCAGTTTAAACAAAACTGTAAAAAATGAATTTTTTCAAATTGAAAATAACGCAAATCCAAATCAGCAGTCTTATTAAGAATCGTTTATAGATGTGTGAACTGAATTTCGTTTCGCTTTAAGTCGCACACTTTAAAAAATACAGCAGTTTAAACAAAACTGTCAAAAATGAATTTTTTCAAATTGAAAATAACGCAAATCCAAATCAGCAGTCTTATTAAGAATCGTTTATAGATGTGTGAACTGAATTTCGTTTCGCTTTAAGTCGCACACTTTAAAAAATACAGCAGTTTAAACAAAACTGTCAAAAATGAATTTTTTCA